CGGATGGGCTTGCAGTTAATAGCTCATATACGAAACAAACAATTACCACATCTTTGGGCATATTCAGATATCTTCATTCATTGCTCTTTTGTGGAGTGTCTATCGAGTGCCACACAATCGTTAGTGGAAAATAAACCTTAAAATATAAAATGCTTCAGANTGATGTGAGAACACATTTACACTGCGTTAAAATAATGGCGGGCGAGCAATTGTTGTATATGGAGATGTCATGTATAAAAATTTTAATGAAAGTAATTGTTATATGAAATAATTAGTAAATAAGTTAGAACTTGTAAGAATGTACCAGAAATAATTGGATGAAACTGTACAAACGAGATGCTGTAACTCGGACTTTCACCAAGGCTATTTGTAGATGTCTCCAGATTTATCTTGTTTTGTTATTAAGAAATCGAGGGAAACAATTGACGTATAAACCCTCAAACTTTCCATTCTCAGCTATGAACCAGATGCACTGGTAAAGGCCCGAGATGAGTGAGGAAAATACCCAGACAGATCATATGTACCAAACAAGCACAGCAGCAATGGAATCTTCCTTCATACAAAGTCCTCCTAATCAGATTGTGTAAATACTGTATTTCCAAACAACGAAAATTACTCTTCATACTGAACTGATACGACGTGAACACTGTGTCGGACGAAATTCTGTCATTCAGTCGAAAGTCGGCCTTGTGCGAAGGGCCTTACGCACTCCTGCTGTACCAGTTTATTGCAGTTATTAAACTACCTTATATTAAGTTTTCATTTCAGCAGTTCTCATCTCAACAGCAAAGGATTTTCCCATTATCCGCTCGACCAAATCCTTCTGAATCCGTCTACTTATTCCCTTAGTCTACGGATTCAACAAATGCATATCGCGTGACACTTTTGGCACCACTGCCATACGTTCCCCATTCCTGGCTTAGCGGAACTGACGAAAATTATGAAAATATCATCAGCACATCTCATTCAAGATTCGAACAGGAAGAAAGTATGTTAAAGCTCAGAGATACTAATGGAATTGTTCATTTTGTCATGTTGGGTACGCCGCACATTTGACAAAAGAGACGGGCGGGAAGCGAACCGTAGCTATTTTTGCTAATCAACTAAAGCAACGTTGCATGCAGAGTGCCAGTAAACATCTTAAAACCATAGATACTCTGCATTGTTTAAAATTTGGTATTTTCTGAATACAAGACGTTCCTCGCAACTTTTGAACTTTACTGGAGAATGCGGATTAGAACTTAATTTCCTTTTTCTTTTTCAGTTACCATGGCAACTACCAGAGTTTGTCTGCTGCTGTCGGTACTGTTGCCGGCTGCTCTGTGTCAGGGTGACAGTCATCAGTCAGAGTGTCAAAAAGCGGCACGGGCTTCTAGGTCGGACAAGTGCCAGACACCTGACATTTCTAACCTCAAGTTCACACTCTCAAGTCACAGGAACCAAACCGGTCACTGGGTTGCACAGGTGAACGTTCATGCGGACACAGCTGTAATTCAGACCAAGGAGTGGCGAGGTTCTGAATTTGGGGTTGACACACTGGCACACTTACAAAACAAAAATCGATGTTTTTGTTAGGGTCTGATTAACTACATAAATTTTCTGATTGCAGTGTAACATAAAGAGCTAACTGACCAGCATAGACAGTCCTTTAACGAATCCAAAAATTTCCTCACCCTGTTTATTGAATCGACAAATCCACCCTGCACTGAGTTGAGTCCCTAATTTTCGCGAAATATTCCTACTTCCGTTTAATGGCACTCGAAAGGAATATGGCTGCCGTATCATAATAAGAATTCGTTCTTTTTCTTTGTTGATACTGAGAAAGCAATTCCTGGGATGAGGTTCAGTTGTACACATTTTGTGTGTATTCCGAATGACTATAAGTGATGTGATTTCAGGTGAAGCTGGAGCACGGCGGTGAACAGGGGCACACCGGCTCGGACCACAGTGAGACCGGCTTATGGCACGTCGATTTGGAACAGACTAGTACGCAGTGTGATGGCAGCCATTCTGTTCAGACTGTGGCTTCAATAACAGGCTAGATTTTTTACATGTCTGAGATAATATTCAGGAAGGCTTTAAGTTGTTATCAGAGATATCTAGTACGGAATAGGATGCCCCAATTCTTGGGCCTCACAGTGGGTCTGAGTGCAGACCTTGAATTGAAATTCTCGACACATAACAACTGAATCTGAGAGTAAAATATTTAAGCTTATGACGATGGTACAGCAATACAATTATTGGCTTTTTGGACATTATCCATCTTCGTGCGTTTTAATTGAACAACGCTTCGGAAGTTGAGTTCTGTCTCTGCCATCAGGTAAAAGCCTACTCAGTTGGGCCTAATTGACAAAGATAGTCTTCTTGTGGGGACTGGGGACGACGGATAATGTCCAAGAAGTCAATAAATTTATCAGCCGGCGAGTGTCGGCGGTTGGTAAGTATAACAGGAAATATTTGGCGCCAGTCCTTCCGAGGTGACATTTTCTACACCACAAAACTTTTCGTGGTTTTTCCTGGAATTGAACTTGGGCTTCTGGATTCAGACAGACGATGTCGAACGATTTGAGAAACGCAAGTGGACCACGATGCATAAGAAGAAAACGTGTTTGTGGCGGTTGATATGACGTATTTTCTTGGAGTATTCACTCGACAAACAGAGAATTTCTGAAACTCATTGACTAATCTTCTTATATCTTTCGGGAATATTAGAATACATATGCATCCAGAATTACCCAGATAGTATCTACTTCTAATCGTTTGATGTTGACGATTATGAACAAGATGGTAAGGATGATAATGACGACGGCCGCACAAGTAGATTTCAAGCACAAGGGTTTGACAATCCGCGGAAAACCCTAGAATAGGCCACATCATCAAGAAATCCGCATATCCGCATTCTTGCAGTAAGAATGCTTCCTACACTGCATATTCATACTATGCGCCGGTCTCTGTAGACTCCCTCATGGCGACTGCGTCAGTAGAGTTCCGTAGCTCCGAGTTGAAAGATCTCTTGAATTATTGTGTTTCAGCACCTCCCCCCGGACCCCCTCTGGGCTACCACCCACCAGGGTACGAACTGTTCCCCGGTGTGGGCTACTATAAGTTTCACAGAACTCCGAAGACTTGGGATGAAGCAAGACGGATCTGCCAGCAGGAGGGCGGATATCTTGTTGTCATAAATTCTGAAGCCGAGTCCAAAGTGATGCAAAATTTCTTAGATGGAGCGAGAAATATAAAAGGCGCTAACCACAACGACTACGCCTTCGTTGGATTCCACGACCGATTCGTTGAAGGCGAATACCTCACCGTGTTTGGTAAGACAGCTCCTTTATTTTCTGTCTGCATATTCGACAGCCTTGACTTCAGAAGTTCTTTATGTTGATTTCAACATTCCGACATTTCTTGTTCCTCTTGTCCGTTTGCTTCACGAGACACTCCTCTACACGAAAATAAATACTTTGACCAGACATTCTATTTGTATCCGTACAATTTTAGATCAAGTAAGTTAGTTTGAAATCGCAGAATCTAAGTTCCATTCCCGGCGAGGGCAGGCATTCATTTCTTCTCTACAGTGTCTAGACCTGCTCGGGAACCTCCTCAGATTCCTGTCCATGTTGTACCGTAGTCAAATTCTCTGCACTTAGACACGTTCCCTACACGACGCCGAGTACTCAGTACCATCCAAAGAACGTCTTCCTAAAAACTCCCATGGATTTATACATTCTTTGTACATTGAATATTTCGGTCCTTAATTTTGATTTACTTAGCCTGAAATACCCAAATGCCTCACAAGTTAATGCATAGGTTGTATTGAAGAAATTGCACTATAGGTAATGCAGCCTTAAAATTGTACAGTTTCCTCACCCTCAGTGGTACCAGTCCCCGCTGTTTCCGAGTTTTAATCAGCAGTTCGTGAATTACATTCGGAAACCAGTGTCCTGAAATAAGCAAATGTCATTCAGACATTCAAATTAGTGATAAGGAGGAATTATAAGTATTTATTTATAATTTCCAGCACAATATTAAGCAAAGAAAAATGTAAATATTTTATTATAACCAACTGTAATTTAAGTCTGCTGCTCACGATAATTTTGGTAAACCGAACACTAAGGGCTGTTGACAGAGATAATTAGCAGAATTAGAATTATGTGCTCAATTTCTGAACTCCAGCTCTAAGAGTGCATACGGTGCAGCTTACTGCAAGATGAAACGAAGGACGAATGGCAAGGATATTTTGGTTGACAAATTTCAAATCTCATTGCATCCAGAAATATGATTTGTTTCTTTCCTGAACACACGGCAGCTTTCTATAACCTCAAAATGACGAGAACAGCAGTTGTTTCCTCATCATTAAGTTTACGTCTGGATTTATTACAACTCAGCACACCCTACAGAAAGGTACAGTCTGGCTGCTAATCTGGTCGAGTGTTACTCACTTCTGGACAATGTGGATTAAGTTGGAGAATCAACAAAACTAACCCCCGTCTAATTTTGTGCTTCTTTTATTCTCATATATTGCAACTCATCCAGAATGACCCCCTCCCCAAGGAATATATTATTGCGGTGTAACTGAAATTAGAGAAATTATTTTAAGTAAATTTCAAATTTTAAATTCATACGCTTACGGTTAAATTTCCTCAAGACATAGATGAGGATTTTATTTGAAGGACCACAGTATTAACTTGATCCAAGGAACAACCAGCCAGGATCCATTTCATTATGAATCGATATAATTTAATCATTTTGGTGATGGCGAGTCTCTTTGATGTCACAAGAAAAGAAGCTTCAGATAAACTAAGAAATGACCACTGTGTACTGCAGCACAGAATTCATTCCTACATAGGTATCCTGTCAGACGTCAATGCAGGGAGTCGTGCTCGTCAACAGGTCTGGGTCGAAATTAATTTTGGTTCACTTAGGTTTATTATAATCCTCATTTTACACAAAATTCAAAGCGAGACTTGCTGATATAATAAAAGCCTCATTGACAATTAAAATCGTACGCCATTAAAATATAAGGAGTATTTGAAACCATACTCGACACAATGTTAAAGAAATAAAACACGAAACATTTTCTGGCCCAATGCAATGTGAATGTTTTCCTTAGAAACACTAGGTTTGAATCTGATATAAAGGCACATTGAACAGAATGAGGTATGCAAACTGCAACACACTTGTTCCGGTCATATGGGTACTTCTGAGCATAGCTTCCCAGTTGTTCTCGTATACTTGAGACTTTTCTGCAGGAAAGCCTTTGAGCAGCACGGGGTTCGCGCGCTGGGCATCTCTCCAACAGCCCGACAACGCAGGAGGTAATGAGAACTGTGGATCAATCCATCGGAACGGCGGTTTGAACGACATCCCGTGTCCATGGAAACTCCCATTCTTCTGCGAACATAAGACCTGGTGACACATTTCAACCTCCTTGAGAATGCAGTGTCGGAAATTGTGATGTGTTGACTTTCAAGAGCGGAACTTTTCGACTTCTTACTCTACTGAGCTCTCTGCAGCAAAAATGTCTCTTTCTTTGTTTGTATTCGGATGCAGTTTGTACTGATTATATAAAGTCTGAACTGTGGAAATTATGGCATTATAAACCCCAGACTAATTACAATTTGTCAGCAGATTCTAAATATTTCTAGGTTAGGCATCTAATTCATGTGTTCTCGTCAACACGGAAAAGCCATTCTAACAGTTCGCTGCATACGGACCAGACGTCCTTGGCGAGCGATCGGCATTTGTGTTCGAATTGAAACGGAAGTTTTTCTTTTAGATACTGTCACGTAATGGAGAGAGTTTAAAAGGGATTTGAATTGTTAAAGGATTTATTGAATACTAACAACGTAACTACAAATAACTACTACAGTTGCACTAAGTTACACAAATCAAAGATTACCTTAACTACAGCACACGTAAAGTCTTCATGCTCCGTTATAGCCGTTACCTGATAGCGGCAACGAACGGCGGACACCCCCCTTCCTCTTGGTTCCCGAACGGTCACCGGCGTCATCTACCAGCTTCAAACAGCAAGAGCTCAAAACCACAGAAAGGCAGCAGTTCTCTGACTAACTCACTAATCCACCAACCAGCTTTCACTGACCGACTAACTCACTCACTCATGGAGCTGAGCCCTTTTTGAGAAGCCGCTAATTGTGAGGCCACCCAAGAATTTGCCAGTATTTTATGGAATCCGAAGGTTTATTACAGCGGTCACAGGAGTCCTCCACTCTTCCCTATCCTGAGCCAGAACGACTCAGACCATACCGTCTCATCCACCAATATATATATGCATTCGTTCTACATGCTCTGCCCAACACTCCTCGATGACTTCGTCATCATAATTATACTTGGTGAAGAATTTAAGTTATGACTTTTTTACGTAGTCTTTTCCTACCTCCCGTCACTTCATCTCCCTTTAGTCCAAATATTCTCCTCAACAGCCTGTTCTCAAACACCCTCAGTCTATGTTCCTTTTCAATGTTTGAGACCAAGCTTCACACCCATACAGAACCACAGGCAAAATTATAATTTCGTATATATTATGATTTTTATGTCTTTAGACAGCAGACGGGAAGACAAAAGTTCTGGACTGAATGGTAGCAATAATTACCCGAGTTCATTCTCCTCTTAATTTCCTCCTCAATCAGGATTTGATTTGTTATAGTCATTATAGTCATTCCCAAATATGTGAACCCCGTAGATTCATGATCATTAGCATAGACCAAGAGCGGATGCTTCCCGTTTAATTTTAGCCCCACCTGGTTTTCCTGGAGATTCCTAATGACATAATCTGAAGCAAAGTTGAAAATCAGTGGTGCTGAAGCATCTCCTTGTTTTAGACCATACTGGATAAGAAATTTATCAGACAATTGTTTAACTATATGGACTTTTACTATACGTTTCGTTTAAACACTTTTTAATCCGCTTAACTAGTTCCATGGGTATCCCAAACTCTATCAGAATATTGTACAATACTTCCCTCCTAACTGAATCGTAGGCTTTCTTGAAGTCTATGAATAGCTGATGTACTGTCGTATTGTACTACCATTTTTTCTCCAATATCTGACGAACGCAAAAGATCTAATTTGTACTTGATCTGTTACGTTGAAACCCACACTGATGGTCCCCAATAATTTCATCTATATATGGACTTAACCTTGAAAGAAGAATGTTGGATAAAATTTAGTATGGAGTTCATAGCAGTGATATCCCCGATAATTACTACAGTCAGTTTTATCACCCTTCTTGTGAACTGGTAAAATAATAGACTCCTTCTACTGATCAGGCAATTTTTCCTTACGCCAAGTAGAAGTAATTGGATTTTTGATCTTTGAACGTAATATGTCGTCTCCTGCTTGAATAATTTCTGCCAGAATTTTATCACTACTTGGCGATTTAAACCTTTTCAATTTTGCCATAGCACTTTCGCCTTCAAAAGTGTTAGGATCAGGTACTAACGGCTGTTATATTGGTCAATTGCACTCGCTTCGTATGGGGGTTTTGTCACGATTCTGTTTCGCATTACAAAACGAAGTTCTTAGAGGACTGCCATTATTAGTACATATACGACTAAAGAATGACCAAGGAGACTCGCTGTATACAATTAATTATGAATACACCGTTCGCAACTGCAAATACGAACATTGAATCCATCCTCATTTGTTCCTATATATATTATTTGTTGTTGCAAATAGAAAACTCATATTTAAGCTTCTTTAAGAGGAAACACATTATTATCAAGCACTTCTGGCTGGTACCGTATAGCAGAAATACAAATGAGAGACCTCTCCTAAAAACAGGATTATATTCCGCGGTAAAGCGTTATTACAATGTTCATTTAAGTGGCTTCCTTCGCATTTTTAAGAACGATTTCTGAACTACATTACAAATCAAACCTTCATGGCTCCTTGGATTTAATTCTTTGGTTCCTGAAGTAAAAGATTGATGAGATGCATTCCCATACGTTATGAAGTAATAGTTCGAAAGAGTTCAAAATAAGCATTCGTCGCATTATTATTTGTTTTCTTATGTCATTTGGTATTAAGAGGGTATATTTTGTGCCTTTCGTTTCTCAACGGGCATACGATTATTAATAACGCAGTGCTCACCATCAATAAAACGTATGTTTGAATGGAAAGCAACATTTATAAGTACGAAGCATATAGCCTATAGAGCCTCAGTGACTGTTTTATTCGTTGTATCCCCCGAATTCAGGGAGATAAAGGAAGTAGTAGCCAAGCAAGAGCTGCAGTTCCGTTGCCTTGATGGATGGAGATGACCGGTAACAGAGCTTGCTCAAAA